TGTTGTAGGAGCCTTGGCTAATTTCTTTATTTTTGGTTTGGTGGTGAATCCTGGAGGAATAAAAAGAAGAGTTGACTTCAGATTTCATTCTGAGTGGACAAGGAAGTAGTTGCCACAATCAAGTTGCTGGTTTGCCTTACCTCGTCCATATCAACGTAGCTGTGAGCTGAAATACTTGTATGATCAGGTTCTGGGACAACATAAGGGTGTTCTTCCTCTGATGAGGGGCTGCTGTCCCAGCTTGGAACATCCCACTTAGTTTTCCTACGAAAAGAAAGAAAGTTAAATATGAGGATCACTCTCTCTAATTCAGCGCTTGATGAGGGACATACAGAACGTAATTTGAGTAGATTCAAAAAGTATGTAGATCAGAACAATTCGGAAAAGTTCATTGCACCTTTAAGGGGGGGGGGAAATTCTCCATTAGACATTTTCAATTTTATTTCGTAGACGCTGTTGGGCGATAGTCGCCAGGAATAAAATTATGGTCGACAAAGAAAATAAAAGAAAACGATACATGGAAGAAGACATCTGGTGCACGGCTACTGACCAAGGGCCCGGGACACACTTTTAACTCTCTCATAAAAATTTAACGGCTCTAGCGATGTTACTTGCTGAAGAAAACAACAGAATCATTCTCCAATAGATGATTAACGCTTCCAAGACCTAGAAGTAACTAACTCGTCACAGTTATCGTATGACAGAAAACCCAGATACACAACAGTTCATTATTTACCAAGGACTCAGAGTGGCCATTGAGCAATAATAAAGCCACAGTTCTAACAAACAAGTAAGATTCCTCACCTTGTTAGGGCATGATAGTAGTAGACTTTTCCTTGGCTATCGGTGGCTGATTTCCAATGTGGAGGGAGATGCCCCGGTGGTTTGTGTTTCACAGGTGATGGCGTGCACGGTTCTGAATTTGAAGGAAAGCCCTCTCTGCATTCAAAGGCATCGGACATCGATGGCGTCACAGCTCCAGTTTGAACAGAGAGCGACCCCAACTCGGGGTGTGGTACACTTTCTGTTGGATCAGTCACCTGCTGTAGAGGCCATAGTATATTTCCGGCTTAATTCCCCTGTTGAGCGGCCGCGATGTTGAGGTTTGGAGGGGGTGTATTAAACTGAAACTGATTCTGCTCTGGTGGAAAAGCAGCCTAGATGCTTTGAGGAAATTGCTCTTGAATAGGGTTAGGGTTGGAGTGTGAAAACTGTGTTAGTGGTGGAGTCGTAACATTGGCTTGAAAAGGTGGCAGAGGAGGAAGCCGAGTGTAAGAGGGGGTAGGTTGACTGAGTGGAAAGAACTGCGATTGACTACTCTGAAGGGGTGGAGGAGGTACTTGCTGAGGTGGCGGTATAAGTGGATTTGGCTGTAGCTGCTCAGGAATCATTGGATGAGTCTGCGGACGGATATTAGGCGGTGGAACTTTGCGAAAAAATTCCATAGGTGACATATTAGGAGGAGGTACATTA